TAAAATGCCTTTAAAAGTTATAAATATATTCAAAACTTAAAATCAAATTCCTGTTGGTTTTTTTTTATTTCATTTTCGGAATATTGCTGGTTCAGTAATAAAAGTTTTGGAAAGCAAAAGATTTAGGTTATTTTTCTATTTTAAAACTTTTTTTTTCTTTATTTTTTTTTGCATTGGTTTGATATTGTTTTTTTTTTTTTTTTAATTTGAAGTTATTAATATTTTCAAAATAACATTAAAGGTTCAAATTTAACTGCACCAGTAAGCTTCGACTTATTTTGATTTTTTTGTTTGTTTCACAATTCAACTTTTAGTCAGTTTGAATCACTGTGATAAATCCTTTCAATCTGATAAATGTGCTTCGGGGCAGTTGTAACACATTTATAGACTGAAGCTCTTTGTTTTGAACTGTAAATAGACCCAAATAATAGGATAATCCCTTACTAAGAACATGATTTACATTCATTCTTCACAATTAAGAGACATCAAATCCTACAATTTCATTGGTCGAGAGCACTTTGCTATATTCTAAGGTTTTAAATCCACCCCGTTCACGTCGAAGCTTGAGGACGTGACCAGATCATTTGCTCATATCACACAAAAATCTTTAAACAAGTTTGAATTAGCATAAGGTACAATGCAATAATCAACCACTGAACAGCCTTTTGTTGATATACATGTATAATCATTGTTTACAAAGTTTCTACCATTGAGTATACAACAATTAACACTAATAAGGAAATCAATCGATCAACGACATGACCATAAAAAACTAATGCCTTTTAAAAAAAAACATGTTTTGAAGATATAAAAACAAGCCCATTGAACTTTATGTATGACATAACAAAGAATATTCTGTAAGTACGCTCCGAAATTTGCACCTTAGCTTTCAATAAGTAAGTGCGCTTTTGAAATCTTATTTATACTAGAACTTCCAAAATTGTCTCAAATATATATATATATATATATATATATATATATATATATACAAGTCTAAATTGAAAACAACGTTCAAACCTATGATTGCGTTGGATAAAAACCGCAATTTTTATACGTGTGCATGCAAAACAAATTTCTTGGTAGAGGGGTCTAAATACAGCACAAACAACATTTTCCAAAAGACCAAATGAGTGAAAAAGTATATTTTAACAAAACGCATTTGACTAGCAGGTCGAACAACTGATGTTCTTAAACCCTGCTGACTGCCATTGGCGATTGCCAAATAAACGGATCACAAGATGTAACAAAACAGATCTTATTATTAAATTATTACCAAACAGAAAACAATAAACTTGCGGAAAAGATGGTATACCGCAAATATGAGGTGCAAAAATTTGTACACCATATCCGGATTTCGACAATTAATGTCTCTTCAGTGATGTTAGGAATCGAAACGGTATATATATATATATATATATATTAATATTAATTTTATATATATATATTAATTTTCAACGGTTTCTAAATTTCTAATCCACTTACAAATAAATTATATATTCTGAGCATGTACATCTTATATTCCCTATTTATTATTTATTCCCGACAATGTATGCTGATTCATATTTGTCATGTATATTGACAGCATATCGATATGTCGGTCATGAAAAGGGTTTCTACGATTGTTTCAAGTTTGGTTACTCAATTAATATAGATTGTATGCAATGTCCGTCGGATGGGGACGTTAAATCCGAGGTCCCATGTTCAGGGAGTACCACGCTCTTTACACGTTAAAGATCCTTTTCAACAAGCTCTTTTTGAGTGATCCATAAGTGACCGGTTGTTTGGCAAAATTATTTCATACTGGTTTTGGCTTTGATATATTTTCTGTGGTTGATAATTTAACTATTTGGTAAATTGGTTTTCATGGTCTAACTTTTGTCTAAAATCTGTTAGTATTCATACTTTGATGAGTTGAGCCTTTTTTTAAATTAATGTTTTATAGTGTGTCCTTTTATGTCGTATTGTCACACCACTGTCTAAGGTAAGGGTGAAGGTAGGCGCCAGATAAAACGTTCAAACCCGCTGCATTTGTTTGCACTTGTCCTAAGTCAGGACCTGGTGTTCAGTTGTTGTCGTTTGTTGATGTGGTTCATAAGTGTTTCTCGTTTCTCGTTTTTTATATAGATTAGACCGTTGGTTTTCCCGTTTGAATGGTTTTACACTAGTCATTTTTGGGGCCCTTCATAGCTTGCTGTTCGGTGTGAGCCAAGGCTCCGTGTTGAAGGCCGTACTTTGACCTATAATGGTTTACTTTTACAAATTGTGACTTGGATGGAGAGTTGTCTCATTGGCACTCATACCACATCTTCTTATATCTATAGACAAAAATGTTCATTCCTGTAAACCATAAGGCATACAGTTCCTCGCATATGAGTGTCGCTATGAATAAAATCAAGACAACATAGTCTCACAAAAAGTCCGGATATTCATTTTATATTTAAAGATTTGAGAAAGAAGTAAATTTATCGTTATGGTGTAATTGAATAAATCTTGATTAAGAATTGTCTGGTAGTTTCAGCAAGTTTAAGAAAGGATCGATTCTATGTTATTTTAAAAGCAGGATTTTTACTTACTTACATTGATACTAGCTTATCAAATTAAATATAACTAGATGTGTATTGTTATACAGTTATAAACACGTATGGATCTAAATCCATATAAATATAAGAGGATATCATTGTCAGTGAGCCGTGAGACAACTTTCCATACTTCTGTTTTGATATTGCAAATTCTAATGCAACATCGTTTCTAACGTTCATTTTGATTGCATAACGTCACCAATTTTCATGGCATCAATTCACAATTTTGGTGCTATGAAAACGTACGCACAAGCGCAGACGACGTTTGCCAGATTTTAAATGTATGATTTGACGTTGTTTTCTGTCAGTTTCATTAGAATAGAGATAACAATATTGTATTTTAAGCTCCGACGGCATCAATTAGTGATTTGGTAATCGCAAATACCCGTTTACTGGCTCCGAAAACGCGTCGGCAGTAAACTTAATTTGCGACCATCAAATCACCAATTGATGCCGTCGAAGCTTAAAATACAATACAGTTATCTCCTAAAGATCATGCTTTTCTCAGACTTTTTACATTCACCTACATTCACTGAATATAAAAATAAGGAGATGTGGTATAAAGCATCTGGCAAGGCTAAACATGTTTGTGAGCGCTCAACCCTGCCCTAACCTGGGACAGTGGTGTAACAGCAAAACATAAGAACTAACTATAAAAATCAGTTGAAAAAGGCTTAACTCATCAGATCGATACAAAGCTGAAAACATAAAAATAAAAACACAGACCGGACGTGGCAGGGTATTTATCCATCCTTCATCCCTAACAACAAAAAAAACACTTAGTACAGATCTGAGAAGAGTACTCGCAGTTACTGACAGCTAGATCAAAGCCAATATCAACTAATAAAAAAAATCATGTATCTAAAACTAATCCCTTTTTAACTGATTTTACATGATGTTTTTGTAACACCACTGTCCCCATGTTAGGAGAGGGTAAAGCGCTTATGAACAAAATTCAACCCTGCTAAAATTGTATGTGCCTATCTAAAGACAGGAGCCTAAAATTCAGCGGTTGTCGATGATTGCTGTATGCAATATTAAATGATCAAAATTTAAAATACGTAGTGGGAAAAAATATATATGAAAAAAAAAACAATGATTAAAAAAAAAATGGATTGGACCAGCAACGAAAAGATTGTGTGGGTAGGTACAGTTGGATTATGTATTGTTTCCGAAAATGGTACAATTTGATTTTACATGATGTTTTTGTAACACCACTGTCCCCATGTTAGGAGAGGGTAAAGCGCTTATGAACAAAATTCAACCCTGCTAAAATTGTAAAAACCCTTATTATTCAGTTGGAAACAGTTTTATCAATGTTATAAAATTACACGCATAAAACAATTGAAGTGATAAAAATTAGAAAAAAATGTCACTTTAATGATTGCAATGGCTACATATATGAACCAACTACGATGATGTTTTACAAGCATTTTATTGACATGCGCAATGGTATTACATGTACATGCTTATGGTTACAATTGGTAGAGTTACAGACAAATATATCTCTGTGGAATGCGAGTGTTCGGTGGGGGAAAGATCAGCCTCTGACAGACAAATATATCTCTGTGGAACACGAGTGTTCGGTGGGGAAAAGATCAGCCTCTGACAGACGAATATATCTCTGTGGAATACGAGTGTTCGGTGGGGAAAAGATCAGCCTCTGACAGACAAATATACCTCTGTGGAATACGAGTGTTCGGTGGGGAAAAGATCAGCCTCTGACAGACAAATATATCTCTGTGGAATGCGAGTGTTCGGTGGGGGAAAGATCAGCCTCTGACAGACAAAAACTCATCAAAGACGGATGTTGTTTCAAACTAATTTAAAACTTTGATTTTACATGTTTTCAAGCTTTCTCAGACCCCTTGTTTAGATTTAACTTTTTATCTAAGATAATGTACATCGGACTTTTATACCAAAACACATATGTCTTCGTGTTGGTATATTTAATAGTATACTCTTATATATTCATTTATTTTTATTTGTCTCTTGCATTATACTAGACCAAATATATGTCTAGCGCAATAGTATAGATCGAACTCATACAATCATTTGCTTACGGATAATATTAGTATTTTGAAATGGAATGAATCAGTATTGGTCACTGCACTTTGCTCTTTAATTGTCTAGGCGTCATTTACGAGAAGGCTATTATTAACGTTATATTCACATTCACGAGAATTGATTTCGGCAGTCCTTAAAAAAGCAAAAAACAAAACAAAACAAAACAAAACAAAACAAAACAAAACAAAACAAAACATAAACAAAAACAAACTAAAAACGAAAAGGAAGAAACCAGCTTGAACCTTCATGTAGATTATAAAATTACCGTATAATTACTATGGTATTGAAACAGCCTTTCTCTTTTAATTTTATGTTTTATCATTCTCTCTTTATTGTATATTTAACAGCATTTACCTTTTTTTCTTTTCCTCATAAGTAATCCCATTTTCTTTGGTTTCCTTTGTCTTAGCGCACTCAGAAGAAATAATTTACTTAAATCCAATTAATGTTATAACAGTTTAATGATGTGAAGTTCTATGTATTATCCATTGTCAAATTTAGCTCATTCATTTAGAATAAAACATGTTAACAACGAATTGTCTATAAACATGCGCCATATTTGTCAAATAAAACCTATAAGGTATAGAAATTTACAAAAAGCATGACACTAAGATCGATCTCTGTTGTAGAATGTAAATAGCTTCCATTATTTCTGTAATCCCAATTGCATGCAATAGAAGTTGTATGCATTCTGTTTTCAATTTAGCTGATTAACAAGTAATTTAGAACTTCAGGTTACAAATAGATGAATATATAATTTGTATTATCTCGAATTACAATCATTTACCTTAATTGTTGTTATCCAATTAACTCCTGACTCAATAATAGGGATCGGCGCGAAAGGTTGTATTAATCTTATATCAATATACAATTTATACAATCAAGTGAAAATATTATCAACTACATTTTGTCTTTCGAGTCTTTTGAAAATTTTGTAATCAGCACAAAATATTAGATTTTTAAAAGTAATTTTGATTTATGATTGATTTGTTATTTATTTAGCATTTGCTCAAAATAAGGAGATGTGGTATGATTGCCAATGAAACAACTATCCACCAAAGTTAAAATGAAGTTGATGTAAGCAATTATAGGCAACCGTATAGCCTTCAACAATGAGAAAACCGATACCGTATAGTCGGCAATAAAGGCTCCGACTGTTATAGATAAACCATCATATCATAAAGATCCATACTAGTTTATGTCGTTTAATTATGTGGGGTTTACGTGTACATGCACTCATTTTGCCTAGGACGCAGTTCTTCTTTTCGTTTTTCTCAACAACTAACAATTCAAGTAAAGTAGCTGTTATCAGACATTAAGCAAACACCAATCAATTAATCATATTATCTGTGGTCCACAACAATTTATTCGGACATATTTATCTTTTTCAAAGTTGGTATAGCTACATGTTTGCTCAAATGCACTAAAAGGGTTCATTTTTACCTATCAGTAGACCGCGATCTCCAATTTACAATGATAAAATGATTTCAATAGATCAAATTGAGTTATCTTTTACCCGAATAACTTTGACTGGAATACTTGTTATTATTTCACATTAAAGGTAAAAAGCTAAGTTAAATGTTTTAAAAGCTAAAGAAAAGCATTTTAAAAGCATTCTATATCAAGCTCAGTTCACCTATGCAAATGCAAAAGTGCAAAAGTGTTCACATGGTTTTATACAATGGGGGTGGTTTTGCGTTTTATATACATATTAGTCATAATAAGAATTAGTATTGTACCCAATTGATTAATGTGTTATTTCATATAATCAATTATGTTCAATACGACATGTGTTACTTATATAGTTATAGGTTTATCTCTCAGACAAAAGATTTATGGACAAGGAAGTCTATCAAATATGATGACATCGCATTCTTTTGGTATACTGACACATGAAATGTTGTATTTGATATTTCAAATAATTCCAAGTATGTTATGAGGCTTTCAAGTTCTGTACGGGTCTTCAGGGGAAATAGTTTTTAAAAAGAGTACTTTCGGTACCATCATATTTGAAAATTACTGATTCTCTTACTGGAAAAGACTAAATCCGACTTCTGAGGCTTGTTCCGAACATGTCATGCAGTTTGTCATGTAAAGGGCGTAAAGACCCCGAGGTGACACAATGTGAAACGATTCAAAAGAGAAAACCAACGGCCTGATTTATGCTCAAACCAATATATAAACGAAAAGAAACTATGACAGACAGCAACCAAAGACAACTACTGGAATACGTGCAATATCAATGCTTTGGACAGTCACAAATTGAAAGAGTCCGTTTTAAATATGTTTCTAGGCTCTGAAGTCTACCGTCTTACCTGGAACAGTGTATGATAATACAATAAAAAAGGCCGAAAAATCATTTGAAAAAGGCTAGACTTATCAGATCTGTGTGTTCATATATCGCTTCAATCCCATATAAGGTTGTGAGAACTATCAAGTAACATGTTTTAAAACTTATTTGTTTTATTATAGTTTTAAGTAATTATGACCTTGCCCTTAGACACATTAATCTCAAAACGGATATGAATCGTCCATTCATCGTAAATTTATAAGCGTGTCAGGCTATAGATTTTATTTCCGGTTTCCTGCTATGCAGCAATGTTCGGTATGTTTGGTCTTAGACGCAATGGGATCAACATAAAAAAATATCTTTCTTTCATATGTGACTATACATCGAAGTAAAGCAATATAAAATATTTAAAATTATCCTCCAGATATCAAAACGATTTACTGACAGAAGGACAGATCGGACGGACGGACGGATCACAACTCTATGCTGTCACTAATTCTTCATTGGGGGTACAACAGCGTAGTGTTTTTATATTTTGTGATCAAATGCACAAAATACAAACAGCTTAAATTTGCATATGTGCAATTAAACTTCTGTATCAAGGGGTTCGGTTTCATTTACTCATTGCTTTACGTTTTACACCAGATGTATTTCTACATCCACATGTATATAAACACACACGTGCAAATATGTGCATGTGAACTGGGCTTAGGATGATCAAGCTCAGCATACCAGATGTAAGATTATGTTCATAAAAATCACACAAAAAATACATTCATAATGTAGCATTTATAAGCTAACAAGATCAAATGCACTGTTTTCCCATTTCAGAACTGTAAATAGTTTGTTTTTTTAAAGCGGTTAAAATGTCCTCTTTATTGGTAGATTTTGATTTTGCTATACATGTGTATCATTCAAACAAATGAAGCTGAATACCTAAGCGACTGTATTTTTCAAGGAAATAATACAATTTAGCATGTGTTTGTGGGATTACTGTGAACAGTTTTTACATAACATTTGTCTTATTTTGAATAACTTGATCTCTTTTTTATTCAAAGGAATTTGTATCACTATACATGCAATTCTTTTGCACTTGTTTCTAATTATATGTCGTTAATTCTGCAGCATTCATACTTAAATTGTTTTTTATGTTTTTGCGAAGTGATTTTTAGTCAACAGGAAGTATTGTTGTTACTTCATTTTGTGTTTCAGTAATACTTAAATAATTTTGTGACCTCCTAAAGTAAATTTATGTTAACTCATAAAATTAGATTTGAATTTAAAAACTACCAAATATTCAAATTTTCAATAAAAGAAAGTAAGGGTTCATTCGACCAAATAGGAGCATAACCCAAGGTTATCTGACAGAAAAACTGGTTTGTTGAAGATCATTTAAACTGATTATATAATATGTGGGAATTTTGGGATCATCAGTGCTCTTCAACTTCATACTTTATTTGGCCTTTCAACTTTTTTTATTCGAGCGTCACGATGAGTCTTTTGTAGACAAAACGCACAAAATTATAAGCCTGGTGTTTTTTTATGTGTATTTTTATTGTCATTAAATTGTCATTGATTTTTATATTTTTTATTAATGCACATACCTCATGAATTTGGTACAAATAAGACTACGCCATATAAGCACGATTTCTTAGATAATTTTACATAATCCCATACTGTTTCTGAAGTTGGTTTAAAATGGCTGGCGCTGAGCCAAATTGTGAAAGTGCTAGCTTGCAGGTGCTCGGTCTAAGAGTTTTACCACCCTGACTATATATTCCGCCCACACATTCGATATGTTCCGACTTCGTGACTACTTTTGTCACCCTAACTCCTTTTTATAGTCAGGACATCCCACACTTGAGGGCGAATAAGTTTGTACCTAACCACAACACTATCGAGCAGTACTTTAGAAATCAGTCTGATGAAAATTCTGATCTATCTTAACTCACGTGCTTGTATATATAAGGATAACGAAATAAGAGATCTATACTTTAATTAGATTGTCAAGAAAGGAAAGATGTTACACTCTACATGTACTTTTTAATTGAAATGTAATGCTAGTCGTATTGATACTATGATTGCGAACCGTAACTCTGATTTTACTTAATAAAGGAGATAATGATTAGAAATATAAAAACCTAGGCCCTAATATAAAAACTAAATGCATGCATTTAATATTATTATATGATTCACGTTTCCTTACAGCTACAAAATTGTATACTGTCGAGTGTAATCGATATCCAGAGATGACATATTTCATTTTAACATTCACTGATATACAAGGTGTCTATTGCTATATCCCTGAGGGAATTAACTAAAAGATGTGTTCTTGTATAATTGAAATAACTTGATAATTGTGTCATACATGTACATTCAACATTTTTCATTTGAATATTTTAGTCATAGTTTCTTTTATAACGGTTTATTTATATTTGTATATAATTTTTTAATTATTGCTTGTTTTTCCCCTTCAAAATCTGTAGTAATGAAATGGGCATAATATGTTGGATAAAGGATTATCAGATGAGATTAGCCATTTAAATGTCAAAAGAAAACAAAAAAAAAAGAAATTCTAATTTTGTACCTACAAACCACTTCTGATAAGAGTAAATGTTTATACCTAGTATGAAGAACAGATTTCAAAACAAACACCAAAAGTATGGAATCTGCTTAAATTGCTTTACCTGTAATTTCTCATTGATAACCTTATACTATGGAAACATGACACTTACACCGTCTTCAAACGTAAAGTTACCAACTTTAAAATCTAACATACTTAATTTGACGATAACGAAACGATAATCTGAAATTAATCTTCATCAGCAACGATAATAACCCCCTCCATCGCAAAAAAAAAAACAGCCGAATATGTATAAACACGAGACACCAACTTCCCCAAAAGGAAAATAATAATAAAACACCATCAAGGTTCTTGACATTTTCAGTGACGGAAGCGTTTTAGGGATATAGAAAAAAATATAATAAGCATTGAAAATGTTTTTCAAAGTCAAAATTTTCGTTTAGGGTAATGCCTTGGTGCCTATCTAATTGGTCTGAAAGTTATGTGTAAAATAGGCATTTCGGGTTTATATGATCCGTTCATTAATATATATATATATACAAGTCTAAATTAAAAACAACGTTCAAACCTATGATTGCGTTGGATAAAAACCGCAATTTTTATACGTGTGCATGCAAAACAAATTTCTTGGTAGAGGGGTCCAAATGCAGCACAAACAACAGTTATTTTCCAAAAGACCAAAAAAGTGAAAAAAAGTATATTTTAGCAAAACGCATTTGACTAGCAGATCGATCAATATATAT